GTTGAAAGGTAACTGCGTTTATTCAAAAGTACAATGTGTACAAAGTCATCGGTCAAATTCATCAGCTGCAGCAGTAACTTAACAGGGTATTTCTGCAGCCTAATGATGTCATTCACAAGTGCCATATCAACTCTTTYCATGTCTGAGTGGAGCCAATATCCTGTGGAAGTTACTGCAGTGGATAACCTGAGGGAAATACAATGTATTTGTGCCAAAACTAATCAGTGCTCTAAGGAATTCCATATTAGGCACTTTAAGAAAAGTTTACATCCTACATTGCTTGTATAGAAATTGCATTTTGATCCTGTTGCTGCAGATCCCGGATACTACAGTTCATTGTAACTTAAAAGATTGTTTAAATGGCTTTTGGCAAAAAGTTTGTAACTGTGAAAATGTAAAAAGTATTTATACACTTGGGAAACACAACATTGTAGAAAACCACATACGTGTTGCCACGTGATAAAATTAGTAAGCAGAAATGCTAAGAGTATGTTTGCATGTGATACAAATGCTACTAAGGCTGTAATGCCTCCTATATGACCACAGTCATGCTACTAGCTGGTAAATACTGAGTAAATGTATGGCACAGAATATTGTTTGATTAATTACAAAGACTTTTAGCATTACAAGKTCTCTATATATATGTGTGTATATTAATTATGTGGGCATTCTTGATACTTGTAGTAAAAGAAAAAGTACATAACTAATTTAATTTTACACAGAAGTATTTATGCAGATTTTCAGAATTTCATATCAGGAATAACCTTTTTATGTCCATTAGATATAAAAAAAMCAATTTGCTAATGTGTTAATTTGCATGTTTCCAGAGCTTGCTGTAGTTATATTGCAGAACAATGCATGTAAGCATTCGGCTTGGAATTTGTCCATGCTGCCAATTCAAAGATGACTGTATGGAAAACTGGTAGTTTAGAACAAATCAGATTCCTGATTTCAATGTACTAAGCACCAATTACTTTGTTGTATATGCTTGTACAAACAAATTCTACATATTCCTATAAACAAAATTAATGAAGAGAGATAATTATGTTATTGTCAGTCCTGAGATGAAACTTTCAACTTCTCTAATAAAAACCTTAAAAAATCAAATCCTTTAGTTTTGATTGCAGTGAATTGCAGGGTGGTGGTGTTATTAATTGCAAATTTTTAGCAAGTTGTATTTCCTGTAAAAGTGTGCATAGTGTAAATATATTGCTATCACAGCTTACTTAGTCAAAGGAGTCTTTTTGTTTTTTAAATTTTATATAAGTGATAGAAGCACTGTGCAGCACTAGAGAACTGCCCCAGCTGAGTGTAGCAGCACAACCTGGAAATGCAGCAGCCTGAGTGCAGTGTAGCAGCAACTGAGACAGAGGTCAGTGACTCTTTAGGTGTTTAAAGCAGGGTTTAAACAAATGTGTGATGCATAATCAGAATTCCCATTCTGATGCTACAACCTAGGGAGGCATCTCCTGCTCCTTGATGATCCATAATGTTTTAAAAGACAACTTGTGTACCAGAAGCAGTTCACCCTGCTCTCTAAGCCTGGCTCAAGTGCTGGATGGAGCTGGGAGAAGAAGCCTTTTCAAAGCATGCTGGACAGGATTTTTGTCATGGTTTTTCTTTTAATTCAAAATGTCTCTAAAACACAGCTGGTGGAGCCAGTGCTGTGAGCTGGAATCTTGTACTGTTGCCTACTGCAGTGGTTTCTAGCCAGTAAGGGGAAGCAAATGACAGACCAGGTATGGAGGGAAGTGGATGGTGAGGCAGATTAGGCTCACTTAGAGCCTGGCTGGAAAACCCTGCCCTACCTGATAAATTGCTGGGAATGAAGGGCTTGGGTTCAGCCCACGGCCCTCTCTGAGGAAGATCCAACCTGCCTATTTAATTCCTTGGTTAGCATCCCATCCATCAGGGGAAAACACAGGTTTTGGAAGGCTACAGAATACTGTCCAGAGCTTCTCTCTGAGTCTGTGCTCCCTGCTCAGCCAGGAGCGAGACATTCATCAATTYAGAGAGAAAAATGGGCTTCTGTGAAACYGCCGAGTAGGAAACCTCAGCTCCCWGACTCCACTCCCCACACTGAGGCGTATTTCATCCACTGACAATTTAGCATAAAATGCAGGCARTAATTTGAAATTAAGTGATGAATTTTGTCAGCTAAGTATTTTGAAATACTGTTTAAGTAGTATTTGATTCAAAAAATTATTTGAAGTTTGGCTGCTAATGTAATGAGGTGAGRATTTCCATTGAGATGAAATAGGCTAATCAATTTGAACATTGATACTGAGTTAAAGCAGTTTAAAGTGTCATTCCCTGCCGGGGTGATGGATTCCACTTCAGTGAAATTTTGTCGAGGGAAGTGGCAGATTCTCCCTCTCTGAATCTCTTCAGATAAATTCAGCTGTGATGGGGAGGGTCACGACACCCTGGCCTCAMAGACAGCCTGCTATTCTTCCACTTCCAGTAATGTGGGGGTTGGTCCTTAACCCGACTGTTTCCAGGTGGGGGTCTGTTTAACCCCTGCACCACCTGAGTGTCATTAAACTGCATCACAGAGACCCAAAATACCCCTTAGGGGTTGATTTCCCTGCAGACTCCGGGTGCTGCCTGTGGAACCAGCTGCAAGTGGCAAGCACATCCTAGAACCAATCGGCCAGAAARTGTGTTCCTCCTGGATGTGCCAGCAGTGGTCCCAGTGCTGCCACTGTGCTCCCTTTGAGGAGGCTGGTAAGAGTTGTTATTTCTGCTTTTTGGGGGTAGCAAGGGGGATTCAGCCTTCAGAGACACTCAGACAGCCCCCAGAGCGGGGGATAAGGGCAGTTTGCAAGGCTGGTTCCAGGTGATSCAGTCTGGGACCATAAATGCTGTGCAATCACAGCATTTTAGGGTGGCTGATGACTGGCTCCTTTAGATGAGATCTTTCTGCTCTGTCTGTATTTTGTGGACTGTTTGGTGCTAGGAAATCTTATGCCTTTCCCTTTTTTGCCACGGAAAGCAGGATGAATGTGGCTCTGCAGGCTGGAAAAGGCAATTGTCACTGGAGCCAAAGGCTTTGTTGTGCTGTGCAGCTGGGGGAGCACAGTTCCGTGCTGTGGGGCTGTGGGTCAGCCTTGCCTGTGTCTCCAGCACAGCTGCTCTCCCCCAGATGCTCCCTGGACCCTCCTGCACAGGCTGGATGCAGTGGCAGCTGCTCAGGATTGTGTTTTTTGAAGCTTAGAAGTCACCTAGAAACCTGTAAAAGGCTGGAAATTAAATAGTGGATGAGAGAAGGAAATAAAGGGTAGTTAAAGACTGAGCTCATCAGTGAAGGACCTGCAGAAGCCAGGCACTAAAATCACCACAGCAATACAGCCTATTACAGTCAAAGATTATACGTTATAGAGTATCATGGTTTTTCCTTTATATAGTCCCCTGAAATGATTATCCATAGGTTAATCCTGTATAACAACTGACACAAGTCTGACTGTATTTGGGGGTGTGCAGGAATGGCTCTTTATCATGAAACAGGAGAGAGAGAGAGGAAATAGTCAGAATGTATTTAATATGTACAGAAAGCAGAAACGGATTTTCAACATTATAGTTACAAAAATTAATATATTCCTCCAGTATCTGTATTTATTTTTTTAAAAGCCATTTCCCAGTAAAAAAAGCCCCTCTCTGCAGGTGTGTGGCCTGGCAGAGAAAGGGCAGCTGCCCACAATCAAAACTCACCTTGCATCATCTTGCTTTGCAAAACCCTGGGCCCGTTTCTTCCAGACGCCTTTTCCTGAACTATAAATGTGAATTGGTAGTGAATCCACGTAATGCCATCACTTCGCATCGCTGCTGTCCCTTTGGCTTTTTACCAAAAAAACATCCTCAGTGTAGGGCTCCTCATCCCCGCTGCTCCTGGGACTGTTGTCGCTGTAAATCGTAAATATTTGGATGTGCTCCTGGTCCCGGGGCGAGGGTGGCAGCACGTTAAAGCTCAAAAAAAAAAAAATGTCCCGATGAGAGGCGAGAAGAAATATTTCAACGTCGCATCACCGGGAGCAAGGGAGCAGCGCGGGGAATCGGCCGCACTCGCACCTCGCAGCCCCGCACGGAGCGGCAGCGCAGCCGGGCTGGGAGCGCTCGCTGCTCCCGCATCTCCGGTGCCGAGAGCCCGGGGGGCAGCGCCGGCCCTGCTCCGGGCTCACAGCGAGGAGGGAAGGCGCTGGGCTGGCGGGGAGCTGAGGGGCCCGGGGCGGGCAGGGCAGGGGGCGGGAGCGCTCTGYTCTGCTCTTCCCCCGCCTCGCATCCCCTTCTCCGTTTAGTGCCGGGCAGCGGTGTCCCGCACCCTTGACCCGGCCAGGGATAAGCCCCTGAGTGCCCCGGCTCAGCTGGCACCTGTCCCACCTCCGAGGGCACCCCAGGTGTGACCTCATGCCTGTCTCCCCCAAAAGCGCTCGGCGCAGGTACGGCCGGTGCTGTTTCTCTTCAAACGCACACTCTCGGGGCTGTTGGGTTTTATGTTACGGTGTGTGATCTGGTTTGTTACCGCGTCGTAGAGCTCAGGTGCGTCGATGGCCCTTCACAGAAGGATGCGCGTTTCCTTCTGACCTTGCCACACAAAAATAGCTGCACGTTTCTTCCTAAATTAACACGCGGAGCAGCTGTTTGCCTTCACCGAAATTAGTGACGCTCCGTGAGCAGCCGGGGCTGGAATAGAGATCCCCTCCCCCACGCCGCCGGCCTCTCCGGCGGGGACAGGCGACACGGGCCCGGGGCGAGGCGGTCCCGGTCCCGCTCCCAGTGCTGGCCCCGCCGGGGGAGCGGGGAGCGCTCGGGTTGAGCCCCGCTCCGCTCCAGCCGCACGTCGGGCGGCCCGAGGTCCCCGCGGGGATCCCCGGCAGCCCATCCGCGGGTGCGGCGCGGCCCCGGCGCCGGAGGGAGGGAATCCCTCCTTCCCTCGTCCCCGCCCGGCTGCGCGTACGCCCCGTCCCTCGGCGTGGGCGCTCCATCAGCTCCGCCGGCATCTCCCCTCCTCCTCCTTCTCCTCCCCGCACACCCACACACTTTCCCCGTCCCTCCTCCCCGCCACTCCGCAGCAKAGTGCTTTTGCAGCCTGTGCGGCTCCTGAGAAAGGAGGTGTGCGGCTTTTTTTACCTCCTTTTTATTTTTAATTTTTTTTTTTTTCCTCCGGAGGGGACCTTTCGGAGGAGCAGCTGCAGCAGCCGCGGCCACGCCGGGACCGAGCAGGGAGGATGGCCGGGGGGCGCCTCCCGGGGCTGCTCTTCATCTTGCGTGAGTACCTGGGCAGCGAGTCGCGACACGGAGTGCTGTCGCGACGAGGCGGCCGCTGGGGCTGAGACAGACCCGGCGCTGTCACGGCACCGGTCCTGCATCATCGCCACCGGCTGCCACATCTCCTCTGCCTGCTCTGTCGCGACAGGGACGCCCCGTCGCGACAGAGGAGCTTCCTCCAGCGGGCTCGGGGGTGGCGGGGGGTGTTAAGGTGAGCGGCAGAGGCTCGGRGCTCCGGGGCTGGGGCTGCCGGCGCTCAGCCTCGCTGTGCCCGCAGACGCCGCGGCTCGCCTGGCCGCCGAGCAAGAAGTTGAAAACCTCTCCGGGCTCTCCCCTAACCCCGAGAAGGACATCTTCGTGGTGCGGGAAAACCGGACGACGTGTCTCATGGCCGAATTCGCCGCCAAGTTCATCGTCCCCTACGACGTGTGGGCCAGCAATTACGTGGATGTGAGTGGGGGCCGGGGGTGGCCCGGGGGGTCCGGGGCTCCGGCAGGAGCGGGGATGGCAGGGGACGCTCRCACTCGCTCCCACACACACATCCGCCCGTACTTTCGGAAAGTCCTTTATCCTCTCCCAGCCGTCAGGGGCACTGGGGGGTCTGTGGGAGCCCAGGGGACYCCGGGGTCGCCGCACTGAGCACCGCTCCCTGCTCGCAGCTGATCACGGAGCAAGCCGATATCCCGCTGTCGCGGGGCGCCGAGATGAAGGGCAAGTGYGGCACGAACGAGTCGGAGCTGGAGYTCTCCTGGCTGGACCAAGCGTACACCCTCAAACTCTCCTTCGTGAAGGTACGGGCTCCCCGCACGCCGKGAGTGGGGCGGGGGCGCGGCGGCTCCGCGGGGTCCTGACCGGCCCTGTCTCGGCAGGAGGGGCACAACACGTCCCGGGGACCGGAGGCGTCCTGGAGGCTCAGCCGGATCCAGTTCACCTACGACACCTCSGAGCGCACCTACTTCAAGGATGCCGTCAGCCGTAAGCGCCCGGGCTCGGGGTTTGAGGCAGATCCCGGCGTCGGGCGAGCGCGGGGCCRGGCTGGGAGGAGAGCACCCCGCGGGCCACTCGCTAAATGCACCTTAGGGGGAAAAAAGCAAACCCCAAATCCTCCCGACAAAGCGGACACCGGCTGCCGGGTTTAAACCGCGGATTTGTTTTTTTCTTTTTTTCCTTCACTGATTTTTTCTTGTTTTTAATCCCCGGTTGCCGTGGGAGGGAGAGCCTGGCTCTGCCCATTCGCTGCGCTGCCCGGGCTCTCCTGCGGGACCATGGGCCCCAGGGGGTGGGGCAGGGAGACACCTGGGATGGAAAAGCTTGTCCCCTTTCCTGTGGGAGATTGTTTGTAAGGTTAATTCTGATGGTGGTTGAAAAGGTGGGAAAGCAGCAGTTTCCCATGATAGCTGAGATTGGCATGAGCATCATACCCCTACATTCCTCCACACCCAGCAGCCTCCTCTGTTTTCGCTGGATTTCCATTCTTTTGGCCTTTTTTTTTTTTTCATTTCTGCTCAAAATTATGTTGTCTTGAAGTGAAAAACGAAATATTGTAATTTGCAAATCGTCCTTCCTCAGGATGTTCCAACCCCAGTGAATAGGGCATTTTGAGTTTGCCCTAAGACACACTGGTTTTGGGGCTGTTTTTCCCACTGGTGTTTGAGTCCCAAAACATGGTGTTGGCTATGCCTCATCAGCCCCTGCCAGTGTGAAACAATGATTGCATTTTTGTGCTGCTGGAGGGGAACAAAGGGCTGCAGAAGAGCKGGAGGTGGAAGATATCCCTCATTCCACCTTGCTCAGCCGCATTCGGCCTCTGTTTGTAAAATGAGCTTGAGGTGATGGGAAAATATTTTCTCGTAATTTACACTTGGGTGAAATTGTCATGTATTTTCAGAAAAGGCTTTATGGCCTGTCTTGATGCGGTTCCCAATGGCACTGCTCCTTCCCACCTGGATTCAGAGCCCGAGTGCAGCCACAGAAAGGGTTATTTCCCAAATGTAGGGAATATCAGCACAGTCCCAGGCTGAAACCCGAGTCTGTGTGAACGGAATTTCTCCTCCGGGTGCTGTGAGGGGAGCGGAGCTGGCGGCAGCTCTGCCCTTGGTGCCGCAGGATCGCGCACTGCAGCCGCTCATTCCGGCTCGCAGGAGGCAATCCCGGTGTTTGGGATGCCCTGCGGGGTGTCACACCAAAAGCGGGGTCCCACACCCGGAGGCCGCGGTGCTCCAGGATTAGCGGGGCCGCCACCCCGGGCCGCGTCCCCTGTAAAGGTCCCTGTGGCCGGGCCCTGACGCTCCGTGTCCCCTGGGCAGCCCGGAAGCACACGGCCAGCTCGCACCGCCTCTCGGCCCTGGTCACCCCCGCCGGCCGCTCCTACGAGTGCCAGGCGCAGCAGACCATCTCCCTCGTCTCCAGCGACCACCAGAAGTCCGTGCAGCTCCTGCTGTCCGAAGTGCGGCTCCAGCCCTTCGACATCCCGGCGGATTTTGTCTTCAGTGAAGGTAAGGAGCGGGCTGAGGGGCTGAGAGCCCGCCTTTTCCGGAGCGGGCTTCACCTCGCTCCAGCCCCTTACCAGAGCTTCCTGCAGTCCCTCCAACCCGTTCCTCGCCTCTGTGGTCCCAAAAAGGTTTTACAAATTCAGCCCAGATGCCCAAACATTGAATGTACATTGGTATCTGTAAGGACTCGTAGGGCCAGATTGCCAGCAAGCCCCAGTGCAGCGTCCCCGGGGAGCCCTGCAGGCTGAGGGGTCTCCTCTGAAGCGCAGAAAATGCTTCAGCACAGAAAATGCTTCAGTGCAGCCCCAGGGCCTTCTTGGGGCTGCAGTGGCAGGASACTCTGGGGCTGCACATTTCTGGCTTCAGTTTGGTTAATGCTCCTTGTGAGGGTGAAGGAAGCTCAGCGAGGCTCCTTGTGTGCCCAACACATGGGATGCCATTCCTCTTCTGGGGATTCTTTACCATCCATGGTGGGTAAAAGAAAACTTGAGTTAATGCGTGCTGCTGGGATCAAAGGGTTGTACTGGAGCCAGCAGCACTGCTGTCTTGGGACAGAATTCCTGCAGTTTGGCCTTCCTTTATCCCRAGGAACCCATCCATGGTGCTCCTCCTCCCAGGCCCCCTTGGCTTTCCCATCAGGCTGGATGAGGCAGTGTAAACAGGCTCGCCTGGATCAGATGAATCCAGTCCCATTTTACAATGCTGCCTTAGCACTAAAATTAATAGTTAAGCCCATTGTTGTAACCAGGTGCAAATGGAATGTCTAAAAGCCAAATCTTTTAACAGCCAGCTAGAAAATCCTGGAGTTATTTTCAAGCCTAGCATTAAAAATGTGAGGCTTTGTTATTTTGCATGTGGGAAATACTTTGGAACACAATAAAAGCCCAGCACTGACTGCAGAGCCGAGCGGTTGCGCTCACGACTCGCATCCTCTCACCGATGTAGTAAATTCGTGCTGTTGCATGTGCTGCCTCTGGCAGAGCTCTGCGTGYCTGAATTACTCATGGCATGGCCAGTGTAATACTGAGTAGGTTTTATCTGTGGGAAGGTCTGGGTTTTTTTTTATGTCAAAGTAGTACCACTTTTGCATAGAAAATTACAGGGCGAGAAAAGTAGAATTTAATAATTTTTTTGTTGATGTATTTTTACCTTCTCCCTTTTGTGGATCCAGTATGCCTCTACTCAGGGCTGGGCTGGGCAGATCTTGGAGGTTGAGAGCAGCATATTTAAAACATGCAAGTCTGTGTCTCTGTCATACCARCCTTGTGAAGCCCAAGAACTCCCAATTAACACAACCAAACTCAAACTGGGGCCCCACTGCCGAAGGAATGTACCCGCCTTTTCCATGGCATGCTCTTTCCTGGCAGGCAGTGAATTTGTTTCCATTTTGTTTTCTCTTTTGTTGCTGTAGTTTGGTGGGATTTTTTTCTCCAGAACACAGAGACTGAGATTGGTTTAGCAATCTTTAAACACATGGAGGGAATTCCTGCTCCTCAGGTGTAAAGTGTGGCTTCTCTCTTTGTCAAGCTTAGTGGGTTTTTTTGTTGTTAATGTTGTTAATGCTGTCATTATTCAATTACACTCCTTTTTTGTTGAATTCCACTGGAAGTTAACCAGCTGGGAGCACCTGGAGAGGGTGGACAGGAATGCCTGGGAGGTGATTTATCAATGGAGCTCCATCCAGGGCTCTGCAGCTCTCCCAGCAGCGCGTCCCCACCAGCCGAGCTCGTCCTTGGCACACGCGTGGCCAAACAGGATCCTTTGTGGGGTCTGAGAATCACTGCCAATCTTAAATTACAGTAATTAGCCTTCTCCTTTYTGGTTCATTAATTTCCCATTAGGTGAAATTCCTATTAATTATGAACAAGCTACAGTACATTTTAAAATATTTTAGAGTGGAGAAAGAGACCTGCCAGAGCACAAGAATCACTGAGATGCTGGAGGGTTGGGGTCCTGTTCCCACAAAGAAATGGGGGAAATGTTTTTTCGTTAGTCCTGACACTGTCCTGTCAGGGATAGGTTAAAAAGCTTGTAGGGAGTGATTGGATTGCTCTCAGGCTTTTTTGAATGTGCTAGAGTATTTTAATTTTTTTTTTTTAAGACACTGCTTCCAACCTTCACAGATCCATATATACATATATTTATTTATTTACATTTTTATTTTTCAATACTGAAGCGGCAGAATTTTTTTTCATTCAGAGATTGCCAATTAATTTTTTTAATAGGGAAAGGGTGTGTACATTTCTCAGCTTARAAGATGAGTAAAATGACAGCTGGATTGAGAGGGTGCAAAAAGATTTAAACTGACAGAAGAACCCCAGAGAAACTGCCAGCTCTTGATTTTATATCTAAAAATTTAAATGTAAAGCAATATGATGTAAAATACTAATTCAAAGGTATACAGTGGTTGAGAATTAGGGACTGGGACCCTGGGGTAGCTGAGACCTTCCAGCTGAGGGCCCCATTTTCTCGAGGGTTGTTTGCAGCAAGGTATACGGCTACTTTTTAAAAAGCACCTGGTCTTTTTTTTTTCAATCTATTTACTTATAAACACCCATCTCAAAAGCTCAAAAATCTTGTCATGCTGGCCCCAGCTGGGCTGTTTTTCCATGCCTTTGGGCAATCCCTGTGCTTTTTGCCGGGTTTTTGCCGGGTTTGCTCTGCAGAAGGGTTCTGGAAGAGGAAAATGGGCTCTTAGGTGGTTTCACAGCCTGGTACTGGAATTGGACGAGCRCTCACCATAGAAACCGTGGCTGTACGTGAGCCTGGGAGGAAGCACAGCACAAAGGAGCCATAAGGAATGTACCTGAACACCTCCTTGTATCCCTCTGCAGTCRGTGTTCCGTGGGACACGGGCTGGGGGTGACACCTCCCTGGCAAAGGGTGACGCCACCGGGGAGCAAAACTCCCGGCATTTTTGCCTCCCTGGACTGAGGGTAAACAGCAGTTTGGGAAATGGTGGGATCCTTGTGAAATGGAGCAAAATTTGACAGAAAGGGCCGTTTTCCTGCAGGATCATTGATTTTGAAATACGCAGCAGCTCCCAGTGCAGTGGTGCTTCATTTGTCAGGCATCAACCTGCCCATACTTGACGGGGTTGAGYGTCCAAATTTGTCTGCTGCGGACTTGATGCAAACGCTTTTCCCTTCCTTCTTTCCCTTTGCCTTTTCCTGTGCTGATGGAGMAGGAATGATAGCTGCTGGCTGCCTCCCTGCTGTACTGTGGGCCTCAGTGCCTATGCTTTGAACTCCTGGGGTGAAAAATGCTTTATTTGAATTCTTGGGGTGAAAAATGCTGTACAAATGGTAAAGTGTGTTGYTATAAATGTGAAAATATTTTTGTATGTCTTAAATTGATGTGGTTTAACATTCTATTAATGYTAAAATGGAGAATTCATGCTCTAACATTCAATGCTCGGAGAGCGTCACTCCTGCTGCAGATGTGCTTGTGCTTAGCACTTCCCAGTGCTTCCGTGGTGGGTCCACCCAGCCCCATTCCCATTCTCCCTACAATCTCCAAAGAGCCCAGGCTCYGGTGATCTGCCCCAAAAGGAGAAAATGTATGTGGCTGAGGAGAAGGTGTGGGTGAGGCAGAGGTAGCTGCTCTGCCCAGGGAGGTGCAGTGGATCCGGGTTTGGGGATGTGCTGCTGGAGACTGACCTCTTGGCTTGGCTTTTTTTTTTTTTTTTCATTGGCTTTATTTATTTTAATTTTAATCCTCTTTAAAAAGTGTCAGGGTAAAGAACAATCTTCCTTGGCTACTTGCGAGAGTTGAAACCTCTTTGAGTCCTGAACAGACCCTTAAACACAGCTGTGGCTTTCTGTGGACASTGGAGCACTTTGGCAAAAGCTGGTGGAATTCAAATGTTGGTGCTTTAGAGCTGGGTCTGTTCTCTGCCCTGGTGCTTTCAGCTCWGCCTTCTCCACTGGTGTATTTGAGCTCAGGGGAACCCTCTCAGCTGGGTTTCCAGGAGCCTTCTTTCCATCTTCTGCAGGGTTTAAGCTGAGCCACCTCCAAACAAAAATCATTGTCCAGCCACTGTGATCTCCTGCTCACCCTGTCTGCAGCCATGTGGGGGGTGCACAGGAGCTCCTGGAGCATTGGATCCTTCCCATGGGAAGGGTGCTGCTTTGTGCCCGTGGGCAGTGGGGTCAGAGCAGCCCTGGTCCCAYAACCCTGCCTTGTGTGAGGCTTTTCCTGCAGCTTTTCAGCTCAGCCTGTGCTGTCTCTGTGAGCTGCTCAGGCCTTTGCATCYTAAACTGGGAGCAATTTCAGAGACCATTGGAAACCCAATCTTAGCAGCTAAATAACAATCAGGATTTTTTCCCCCCATTCTCCTTACTACAAACAAACAAAACCCCTGCATTGCAGCAACTGCTGAATCGCCTGTACCACAGTCCTGGTGATTAATCACTCCTCTGGTGAAACAGTGAGCAACTGGAACTGAAAAGGACATTTTTTTTTGTCTAAGACTACATTTCACTTTTGCTTTTTTTTTTTTTTTGTTTCACCTCACTTACAGCTTGAAATGTTTCCTGATGGCATCGCTGTGAGCCTGGTGCTGGGAGGAGGCTCCACTGCAGGACACAGCGAAGCTCCTGGAGGTGCCAGCACCGCTGGAGATGGTCCCTGCTGTCACCTCCTGCCTGGGCCTGCGGGGGTCTCTGGGTTTTTCCTGCTCTTTGCCACATGCTGTTAGATTTGTGGAGCGTTTGCTCTTGGTGGTTATTGCAGCTTTCTGCAATCAGCTGCTCGGGGAACCCATCTGGACAGTCTTGTCAAGGGGAGGAATCCGTGGAGCCCTTTGTATTYGCTCGTCTAACACACAGCCTTTCTRTTTTCCCTTTTTTTTTTTTTCCTTAAAGTTGTCATTGTTTTCAGCGTATTTCTAGCACAATGAAGAACATGATCCAGAGAACTGTCCTTCTCCTGTCACGTAACATTTTTTTTTGTCCCAGAATTGGCATTTTTCTTCTTTTTAGCCAGGCAACCTCATCTCAGCAGCATGGGCYCTGCCTGTCCATCAGCATGGAGAARCAACAATCCTGGCRGGAATAAGTACATCATGATCCTGTCATTCAGRCAGTAGACTCTGGAAGTGTAAGGGAGCTGAGCCAGGATTACCAGTGTATCATGTTTCCTGACCTCCGTGGCCTTTCTAAGCTCCATAGAAAAGGGTTTTCCCATTGTATCACTATTTTCTGTGGTTTTTCAGACTCATCAGCCAGAGAGAAAAACATTGTTGGGGCTTGTGTTGCTTCTGCTCCTCCTTTGCCATATTTGATGGCCAGTGTGGGGTCTGGGGTGCTGTGTGACCCCAGACATGCGTGTGTGCTCTGCCAGCCCTGGGGAGGCGCTCGTGGAGAGGGGGAGCGATGCTGTTGGCCTTTACCAGCTTGGGGATGGGCAGGGAGAATCTCTGGGTGATGTGCAGGGTGAGTCTGGTACAGAATTCAAGACTTACTGGTTTTGAGGCCTCACAGACTCTGTAGCTGAATAAACAAAGCAGCTCTTGAGGCACAGTCGGGAAAGCCGGAYTTTGGCTGCTCCGTTCCCAACAAGGCCATGGATGTGTGGCAGAGAGGGCTGAGCTGACGGACATGGAAGTGTTTTTCCAGTGTGTGGGCTGCTTTGATAGATGCTGCCTCTCCCTGCATCCCTGCCTTGTGACTGATTCCACTTTGCTCCCGAGCAATTGATTTTCTCCCCGGGGCTCCAGTGGCTGCCGCTCCATCCTGCTGGAGCCGTGACCGGGAGCCGCCGCTGCAGCAGCTCGGGCTGGCGGGTCCCAGTCACGTCCCTCCTTCCCCTCTTTGTTTCCCTGCAGAACACAAGTGCCCGGTGGACCAGAGGGAGCAGCTGGAAGAAACGCTGCCCCTGATCCTGGGGCTGATCCTGGGGCTGGTGATTGTCATCACCCTGGGCATTTACCACGTCCACCTCAAGCTGACGGCCAGCCAGGTGCAGATCCCTCGCGACAGATCTCAGTACAAACACATGGGATAGGGAGCGGCACCGAGCACTGAGCAGGTAGAAAAAGCAAAAGCACTTTTTTCTGCGGGTGAGGAGGTGTTCTGGGGGGGGCAAGAGATGGTATTCACAGCACCTAATGCTGAGTGTTTCCTGGACATGCTCAGGCTCAGCTTTAACACAGGCTCTGGAAGCAGACTCGGTGCTGGAGGTGTCTGTAGGTGGTTTGAATACCTTCTCAAGCAGCTGGGCTGATCATCTGGAGACAGAAATGCTTYGTGTCAGAGTTTCCCACTGGGAGCAAAATTAGCTTTCTTATTTATTGTTTTCCTGTCTCAAGAGACTGTTGCCTCCCCTTGCATCACCCTTGGAGCATTCAGCCCTCTCCATTCCTGTCCATGCAGGAAGCAGGGCTGGGAGACAGAGCCATTGCACAGGGTTCATTCAGGCCCTCTAATGAAGGGACTCAAACCACATCCCTAAGTTTGCACTCATGTTAAGGAAAGCATGGAGGCAAATGCAGGTGTGCTTTGAAAAAAAAAAAAATAATTCAAGGTCAGTGACTCCAGCGGAGCAGATCACAGCTGTGGATATGACCCCACACTTGGGACTGGGTGAAGAAAGTTTGTTTTTGCTTCTTGAGCCACAWCTRAAMWAAAMWWAAAAAAAAAAARAAAAAAAAAAAGAAAAAAAAAGAAAAAAGTATTGATACACAAATTATAAAGTGCCGTGCTACTGCAAGTCAACTGAGAAATGCTTCTGGCTGGGCATCCTGCACGTATTGTGATTGTGGTTGAGATGTTACATTGCTACCTGCAACTGGTATTTTTAACAACCAAAAAAAAAAGAAAAAAAGAGAAAAAACAGTAATGTTAAAGTTACTATGCAGATTATTCAGGTATAATCTAATGTAACAGAAAAAAAATATAAGGGAACCCTTGAAATCTATCCTTAAATGTAGATGATTTTTAAAACCAATTAAAACATGTACATATGTAATACTTGATTTGCCTTCTTATTTTGAAATGATGCAATGCTTTGTACGCACYCCATGATACCAAATGGAATCAGAGCACAAATCCATCATCGGACTGGATGTTACATGTAGGATTCATTCCAGCAGTGGTTTGCTGCAAATGGCTTGCTGAAGGCATGATGGTGGTTCAGTATTCTATARTTTGTTGGTTGTCTCTAATATTCGTCTAATCCCCTGGTTTTGTGTCCTGTGTGTTGTGTGGGCAATGGTGTGTTTCATTCTGGTACCCTCCAGTTGCCAGTGAATCCTCTGACTCCTCTTGACTCAGGGGTTACCTCAAGCAGGCCTTGTGTTAATGTAGGGTATGAAAAATACTTCCTTTTTCTTAAACTGATTTGATCCAAACGGGCAGTCAGATTATTTTCTTTCAGTTTAAAATGGAATATGAATGAAAGAAAAATAGTCATTTTGATGTTGGGCAAGAGAAGAAACTTGACTGCTTTTTAATGCTGTAGCCTCCTCCAAAATTTATGGGGGTTTTAAGAAGGTGGATGCAGCATTACACCTGCCTTTAGTCCTGCCTTATTCCTGGTCTCATTTCTATGCTATGCTCAGCTTTCTATTTTTTCATTGGGATGCAAGAAGCAAAACTGTGGCAGTGATGATGATTGTGCCTTTGCCCTTTTCCTTTAAAACTCCATTGCAACTGTCCTGGGTGACGCAGTGGCCCAAGTGCAGCTGCCTACAGTGAGTTGGTAATTAAAATAGAAAAGGTTCTTTTAGAAGCAGTTAGAAAAAGTCAGAGGTAGCAGGAGGGTGAATAAAAGGATTAAAGGGTCATCCTTAATAGAGAGGAGCTTTGTCCTGCCTCACCCTTGTCTGCCCTGGAGGCAGAAACACTCTCCCAGCCAGCTCCCATCAGCCTGGCACATCTGCCACTGTGACATCCCAAAGAATAATACAGTAAAAAAGGATGCCAACAGCTGAGCTGCAGCTGCCAGAGGAGCCCCTYCACTGTCATTTGTCCCCTGCACAGGACCTTCTGGCAAGGTGGAGAGGGAGTGATGGGATGGCCCCGAGTGTGGGTGGCAGAAATGGCAGCAAGCTGGAGCCATCCCGCTCACTAAGAGGACATTCCCACGTGCCTGGCTTCCTCCCTTGGTACAGTCCAGGGGTTCCCATGGAGCTGTCTGAAGGCAGCAGGACCGGGGGTTTGGCTGAGCTGCAGAGTGCAGGACAGGCTGGAGCTGCCTGGAGCCCCATCCCAGCTCCTTTGGGCTGTGCATGGCTCAGGGGTGGCACTGGGGCCTTTTGGTCCCTTGGGGCTGCTTCTCCTGTGGCACCATGTGAGCACACCCTGCCTGCTTCAATAATGGGAGATGRTCCCAAACATCTGCCTGCCTTTAAGGTGGAAAAAGGCTGGTTTATTATGGACTCTGCAAAATGATTGTAATTTGCCCTGCACTGACCCTGTCAGGGCACTTCCAGGGGACTTCCCTTGCCCATTCCCAGTGCTTGAGCATTGGCCAGAACACTGAGGGGGTGGCATTGCCTGTCGGATGGGGATAAACGCCCCAAAAGCTGATGCAGCTCCTCTGCCCACACATCTGAAGGACTTTTGCAGCTTTTCCTGCCAGATGAGGGTTTCCCTTAGGAAGCACTTGGCATCACCTTCAGGGGGTGTGTGTCTGTAAACTATTGGGAGCAGAATTCCAGGAATAGAATAACTCATTTCTTCGTTTTCTGAACTGATAGAAAACACTTTTTTTTGTTTCCTTTTTAGGGAAGAAAGGAAATAGAAACATTAATCTCAGTGATAGTTTGTGTCCCAGACTGATCTATCTTGGTTAAAGTTATTTAAGATCTTGGGTGAAAACCGTTTACATTTTTTAATTCTTTCCATCCTTGTGCTCCCATTTACTGAAATGGATCTGAATTTTCCGTAACTTTTTGCTTTTCAAGCCTATTTATGAAAAATTACTTATGGGATTATGTCCAGCTTCCCTCCTTCCAAACTGCAGCAGCATCTTGAGGATGGCAGCACATTATTGTGATTTAATTTTATATTCAGCTTTCATTCACTGATGGCTTTTTATGGGCAAGCTGCAAATTGAAAGCTTTGCTCTATAGATGTTTATGAACACAGCAGTAGAAGGTGGATAAATACACCTTATCACCCTCCTGAGCTCTGTAAGGACCTGCAATAATTAAGCACTTACTAAAGCAGCTGCTAATGACTTACAGAGTACTTGTGATTAGAACTTTAATTATAAATTATTGATGTGTTGCTGAGGAGGGGGCTAACATAGCCAGAAAATGTCCTGGCCTCTGCCACTACGATWACAAGTATTTGGGAACAGTTTTAGAACTGTGAGCTCAGAAAAAACATCATTCCTTATGACAGGTGGGAGTAATTTCACTGGAATATCCCACCATACCTAGAGCATGGCCTCAGCTTCTGAGTGAATTGATGCTCTCAGGGTGCTCTTTTTGTTTGTTTTTAGGTGATGGTATTGCATTTTTTCAGTGTGTTTTGAAATATTTACTGATCTCAGCAACCAGAAGTCACAAAAAAACCTGATTTTTTAAGACCTGAAGATAGCAAATAACATTGTGGATGCATCAGCTGATTTGGGCTACTGGAGGAACTGGGAGGAATTGCTGTCAGTAGATTTAAGAACTGAAAAACTGTGAGCCAGAATTAAGGATGTGCAGGGCAAAAGAAGAAAGGGATTATTTAGTGGGCAGAGGAAGGTGGAAATGCACCGACACTTAGAAATCACTTGGGGCAGTTCTATAAATCACTGTATATATATATATATATATATATATGTAGGTGTATCTGAAAAATCACATATATATATTTACATTTACATATATACATATATATATGTATATATTTATTTACATATATATATATATACATGTACAGGAACACTCCTTTTTCCTTGTTACTTGCTTGGTCCAGTACTGTGGGAATGAATCAAATCTATATACCAGAAAAAAGGCATGGGGAGAAAAAAAAACACATTGAAACTTAGTGTTTATTAATTAATTTATTTAACTTGTATGTGCATTTGTCTCACCAGTAACTGGTGTTCACAAAAAAACCCCTTTGAAATCGACAAAACTCTCAGTAAACTTGATGAACACTGTTTAAAATATCTAATGATAAGAAAATTGCAGAAAATTCTTCACTTGTACAGCCTAAAATGTGCTGAATATTGAAGAAAACCCCCCACCAACCCCTTTTATTTATTCAAAGATGGTTAAAAAAGGTAATTTTGTGGCTAGTATTAAGTTGTGCCGTATGCTGTTGCCTGGACTGGTGCAGCCTGGTTTCCTGAGTTGTCAAGACTACAAAAGAGAGCCCTGGGGGCTGTGGGTGCTGCTCCCGGCCGGGTGGRCTCCGGGAGCTGGGGGGCGGCGGGAGCAAAACGCGTTTTCTTCAGTGGCTTCTTCAAATGTGCAAACAGGGTTAGAAGAGGAAGCAGTGGGGATAAGACACACAGATGTAAGAAACATCTATTCCAGGTTCCAGATAATCTTTATCTTCTTTTTGCTTTTTTTTTTAAACTTGCTTCTCTCCCTTCAAATATTCTCTAAGTTTTTAAGGACAGAACTAAAGGAGCTTTATTATTGGCAATTCTTTTCTCCCAAAGGAAGATCTTTAAGCAACAGCTCCTGCCAGGTTTAGATGTTTGGTTATAATTTACTACAATAAATAACAATTAATTTATTAACTATGAAATTCCAGAATAAGAAAGAAACTGTGTTTTCACAAAGTTGGCTTTGTGGTTCTTAAAAGATACTGTAAAATGAGGTAAGAAAAAAAGAACAAACTTGAAAAACATGGCTTTTGTATTATACATAATTAAAAACAACTAATAGTTAATAAATAAAATTAATTTCTCATTGAAATAATTATGAAGCACTTCTAAAAATTTTAAAGGCAAATCTATTTAGGCCTACAGTTAACATGCAAAGTCATCCAACAAATAACACAAAATTGTACCGCAGTAGTCAACTGTTGCATCAACATTCAGAAAGGTCTAGACAGCAGCACTTCTCCTCTATGGCAAACGCCTGGCAGCGCATCCCCTCCCATCCCCTCCCATCTCATCCCATCCCATCCTGGCTCTGCCTGAGCTCTGGGGATTCCTCTGGGGTGGGAGGAGGAGCTCCTGCCCTCCCTCTTCACTGCCAGAGCATGACAGAAACAATGGAGGCTTCCGTGGTGGCAGAACTGGCCTTGTGGTGGAATAAAAAAAAAGGGATCACCCTGGCCTGGGAGGCCCCCCAGGGGTGTTGGCTCCCACTGAGGGGGAAGAGGGGAGACTCCGACCATGGCTGGTTCTCAGCAGAGCTGCGACTGCCACCACCACCGAGCGCCCCAAACCAGGCACTTCYACCAGCATCACTTACTCTTGGCTCTTCCGGCTGCTGTGAGGGTGGGATGAGCCCCCTCCTCACCCCATGGGAAATCTGCAAAACCTTACAACTTCCTAAAGGTGGTTGTGGTTTATTTTTTTTTTTTCCTGTTTTCAAAAGGGTTAAAAAAGTAGGAAACTTCATATTCTCAAATTCTCGCTAAATTACACGTATTACTTCAACTAACACAACAGTTACATGACAAAGTACTGCAAGTTATCAAAATGTACTGTACAGAAAATTACAAACTTGTTGCAAAATACATTGCGCTGCTCTGACCGAGATAAAAAGTGCTTAATTTTGTCAGAAAAGTGTTCTTCTGAAATAGAAGTGCCGGAGCCTGCAGTAAAGTCCTGGTGTTCCGCTCTGGCTGTGCTCTCCTCTGCCAAATTACCTTTCCAACGYTGGCATTCGGTGTCTTCTGGCTGGATGGCCTAGAAGGTGCCAGAGCGTGGCGGAGCGAGGCTGGGATTGCTCCCTGTCCCTGGCACTTGGGGAGCACAGAGAGCACTGCCTGCTTTGGGGTTCTTTGTACACCGCGGCMTTTCCGCAGGGCCCATTCCTTCACAAGGTTTGACTCCTGCGGATCCCACGCAACTGCTGGCATTCCCACGCGGCCGTGAGCCGGACTCGGCGCTGACCCCTTCCCAAAACGCGTCAGCGATGCCTGTGCTGCCTCATGAGGGGCACGATGCACGAGGGGGGCCCAGCCAGTTTGAGGAAGGGGTGTCTCAGCAGTTCCTGTGCCGTGGCTCTCTGCGAGGGCTCCCGCACCAGCATCGAGTCCAGGAAGCCGCGGAGGACCGAGGAGACCTGGAATACCACACAGGCATTAGGGGTGGACACAAACACCCAGCTCCAGCTGTGCTGGCTCTGTGTGTGCTGCTCTCTTGGGAACACAAGCAACACTCCGATCTTCCCTACAGCAACGCTCAGCTGAAGGGCTGTGGGTCTTTGATGTGCTGCTGATGTTTGTGTATTTGGGTATCAGTGGGGTGCAGAACTGCACTAAGGGCCGAGGGCTCGGGTCTGATGGGAACACGTTAATTGGGAGGTGCTTTGGCTCTGAACAGGGATGTACCAACCCACCCATAGCAGGGCCAGTGTGCCCTCCTGCTCTGGTCCTCAGGCAGGGTGGGCACTGCAGGGACCATGAGGCTCTGCCTCGTTCCCTCCGCCATCACTGGCTGCAAACGCAAAGCCAGGGCTGGGCACAAAGGAGGCCACGACTGATGGCCTCAGCCTCACATCCTCCCCACAGGAGTCCTGTGTGGGACCCACTACTCAGGGTGGGGCTTCAGAGATGTAAGTTACCATTTGGGCATGCAGGCATGTGCCTGTGCCCTGATCCCCCGGGGGCAGCTGACCTTGTGCATGTCCTTCACGCGGGGCGGGAGGTTGTCCCGGATGCGGCGCATGGCCTGCAGCGGCGGCTCGTTGAAGTAGGGGGGTTCACCATCTATCATCTCGATCACCATGATGCCCAGGGACCAGATGTCCACCTGCAACACAGACAGAGGGGTCATCAATGCTGCTGGAGTGCACTGGGGGCCAACAGGCTCAGCACTGAGGATCGTGAAAAGCTCGGAGCTGGCTCACGCTGCTGCCTGCTGCCAGTCTAAGCCAACACTCTGGAGAGCCAGCACCACCCACCTTTCCTTTCTAACCAGCCAACCATGACTTTATCTTCTGAGCAGTGAGTGCCTTGACAGAGCAGATGAGCAGGGACACACAAAGCTGGGTCTGCAGCCGGTTTAGGTGCTGCCCCTGGGAGCACCATGCCTTGGGGAGGCTGTGTCCTCCTGCCCTGCATTCCAGCTGCACTGATCTGCACCCACTGAACGCCAGCCCCAGACTGGCTCTGCAGCTGCTGTGAAATCACTTTATTCCCCTGAAGCTGAAAAACTACAGGAACTCCGTTCAAGACCCCAAGGCAGATGCAAGCACTCACTGCACCCAGGCCTGTYTGCAGCCAGCACAGGTAACACATTATATAAGCTCCTTGGAAAGTGATTCAGCTCCAGCTCAAAAAAAATTTTTTTTTCCTTTTTCCTTACTCYTGGCCTGCTGCAGAGCTGTTCCAGAATCCCAATCCTCTGATGACTGTAATTCCTGTCATTTGCCAGCCCAAATACAGTCAGGGCCAGTTCATGCTGCTTTTGCTCTTTTGCCAACACTATCCTTTATCTTAAATCCTCTTTTTATTTTTTTTTTCTTTCCCTTCTGGTGGGGAAACCTAATGCAGCCYTAAGTTCAGCCACTTTCTAATCCTTCTAGAGCTATTAACGGGCTAATAATAGTTGATGCTATTATCCCTGGAGTGCYTTCTACAACAGCACAGATCCTGGGTGCGGGGCAGTGCCGGTGGGGTGCTCTTGCTGTGCCATGCCAGAGCAGTGTGAGGATGGAGCAGCTCCTGGCTCAGCTCATCTCCCCTTCCCTGTGTATGTATGTATCTATATTTCTACAAAGGTATGTATATATATGTACCTGTGTGTAAACACAGCCGTGTCTGCAGCTCTGTTTGCCTGGCAGGGTCGAGCTCTGCAGCTGCTCCTCTCAGCACTCTCAGGSAGAAGCTCTTCCCACGCACAGGAGCAGAGGCAGCAGAGGCGCCGTGTCCCCGGCTGGGGAGCTGTGAGTCACTGCCACGGCTGAGCACGGCACAGGGATTGCTGTCCCCAGGCTGGCAGGGCAGCAGTGCCGTGSCTCACAGCTGCCTCATGGATGGGGAATGGCACTGCAGAGCTGCCGGGTTCCCCCCACCTTGYTGGGCTCCTCTGAAGGGTTCCAGTAAAAYTGTGTGCATTGCCTTTCTCAGAACATTCGTCAGTGCTGGAAACAGCTCCCACAGAGGYGCCTTTCCTGCCCCATCTCTCAACTTATGACAGCAATGACTGCAGGGAATGAGCCCATGTGAAGAACCAATCTTACCAGAGGGTGACAATCCGACCCCCCAAGCTGGCCCCAGGGTTTGGGACCCCACAGGACCTGTGCTTCTGCTGGCACTGCTCCAGAGGAAGGGAATGGCAGGCTTTAGCTGGGTGAAAGCAGAGYGGCTCTGTGCAAATCCTGATGTGACCTGGCTGTGCAGGAGGGGCATGCGAGCTGGGCTGGCTGCTGGTGTGGCACATGCAGATGTGCACACCTGTGACTGCAGCTCTGGCCTGTGAGCTTGATATTAAAGAGCAGCAAAGGGCCTTTCACAAACAATGTAAAAATKAGGCCACTTTCCTTTACTTCAGCACCCCAAACCAAAATATGTAAAGGCACTACACTGCTCAATGTGCTAAATGGAGTTGTTATTTAAGGACTTCATCTTGGGGAAACACTTTCAAACAAGGCACAACGTAGCACTCTGAGGCAAACGTAATTGCTGCTGTTTAGCATGGCTGTGTAAATGCTTCTGCACTGCACAGCTCTGACAGAGTCCAACGGGGTTGGGATACCCCCTCTGGCAGTGCCTGCTGCCCTCAGCTGGGTGCCAGAGGGATTTGGGGTATCCCTTCCTGGGATATCCCTCTCAGCAGTACCCACTGTGCTCCCCTGGGTGCCACAGGAGTTGGGATATCCCCTCTGGCAGTACCCACTGTGCTCACCTTGATGTCTCTCTATCCCCTCCTGCACTGCACTCACCTCGGTGCCATAGGGCAGGCGGGAWATCACCTCCGGTGCCATCCAATACGGTGTCCCAACCAGGGACTTCCTCCTGGGGACCTCCTTGGACACCTGGGCGCAGAACCCAAAATCGGATAATTTTATCTGAAAAGAAGAAGAAAAAGCCCCTCTTGAATAACAAGGCAAACTCCTCCATGACACATCTCCAACTGCGGCTGGAGGGACAGGGATGGAGCTGCAGGGTTTGTCTGGGACAGGACACCAGTCCAGCTCTGAAGGAGTGTCTGGACAGCTCATTAAAATGAAGGCAARGGGACATGCAGGAGAGTGGCATTCCTGATTGAGCCCACTGCCTCTCCACCAGCAAAGGATGTGCAGCTGATAAATGGCTTAGAACACTTAAAAACAGAAGGAAGGCAAAATATTCAGAAGAGAATGTAGGAGTTTTATAACAGATCTATTATTGCATACATGGAACCCCCATGTTTGTAGTTATGCATGTGATATCCAGTAATACACACATTCCAAGTGACACACACCCCTCCTGGGGTTTGTACCAGGTACATACACCATCTCTGAGTTTGCCAGGGAACTGGTGACACAAGCRGCATTCACCCCATTCCCTTTTACTGCTCACAGAAAATAAAACCCCTTCCAATGGTTTGCCAAGGCCAGCACCTCCCTTTGTGGACTATCACTGAGGAAACTGTCATCTTTATGTAGAAGGAGAGCTAAACTGGAGAAGGCAGGGAAGGGTACAAGACTCCTTGCAAAAGAGTTAACCTGTTCCCTTTGCTTGGGGACTCGGGAATTAGTACTGTCCTTGAGTAGCTGTGGCAGTGACCTGAAATAGAAATAATGGGATACACAAGCACTCCGGAGAGCAGCTCTTGCTGCATCATGTGCCTGGCTCACACTTTTATGACAGTTTTTTTTAACAACAAAAATTATGGAAAATTATCACCTCCCCCTCCCTGACGCTGTACAATGCCAAGGTGAAAACTCCTCCAACCTCCAACCACAACAAGCTGGTCTGAGGGTTGGTGGCATCACCCCTTTCCAGAAACAGCTTGTTCCTTAAAGCTAAAATCTCTTTTTTTTTTTTTTTTTTTTTAACCCTCCAAGTACTTATTTGGAGGCCAGCAAGCTATGAAAGGGATTTTCTCAGACATTTTCCTAACCTCCATCACTGCACAGTTCAATGGTGACCCATGCCCGAGGTCTGCAGGCTGTGTATCCCATCCTGTACTCAAAGCCTGGGGATACAAAGCGAGCCCAAACAACCCCAGCACACCTGGAGTGGGAAGCTGCATAAATCCCAGCATTGTGTAGACTTATTGTCAGCACTCACTTGTTTTCTTTTGGATTCAGCACAGACATTGCTTTTTTTAAAGTTACGGGTATTATTTCTGACAGAATTATGAAATGATTGTTGGTATTTCTAAAACAAAGCCAATAATAGCCAAGTTCTCCACACTTAAATGTGTTTTTCAGTTTACAGGATGAAGAATGGAAGAAATAATGCATATTTTGGAAGCAGAGCCCAATCTCCTTTTGTAGGAGCACAAGAGGTTTTGCATATCTATTGCTCATTCGAGTACATAAAAGACGACGATTTTCTAAAAAAAGATAATTGCACAACAGAGCCATGAAGAAATCTGCAATGCAGATAATAAGGACTGGAGTAATGAGTATAATGAGGCACTGTATGCAGATCCCGAGCGCAGATCAGATGTTATTTCAGCAACATGAACTGAAATCACAACTGAAAAACTCCTACACACGTGGGATTTTCTTTCCTTGACAGGCCTGTGACTGCTGCAGAAAGAAAATCCCTCTCCCCTGGTGAAGTGGGCATCAAATCAGACAGGCGAGCCTTTGGCTACAGAGGCACACCTTGGGAAGCCAAGAGCTTTACCTTGGGAAGGGGAAGGCCTGGATCTGGTTCCAAACCAAAGCTCCTGGGCTCAGTCCAACCCTCCAGGTCTTGCCTTAGACAGGTGTGTAACCCCAGTGGAGCAACCCTTAATTTTTTTGTGTGCAAACGGAGCAAGTCATGTGCAGCATTTTGTCCCCTTCTCCCTCTGCTCATTAACAACACAAAGACAGACCAAGTCACTGGCAGCAGCATCCCATCCAAGTAAATGCAAGTGTGGGACAGGTATTATCAGGCATCTTGGAAGTGTGAAAGCTACTCTTGACCATCTGTTTCAGCAGAAATGCAGATTATTTCCTATTTGCATAGACTGATGTTGGCTTCCAGCTTGGGGAAGCAGAGCACACATACAGAAACTGCTAACTAAATGATAGCTAAGCGTGGTAACAACGAAATGTTTTTTGAGAGGCATCAGAAGTGTTTTTTGAGAGCCCAAAAGGTCTCCCATCACCTGATCATCACCCTTGCTGCGCAGGTTCTGCTGCCACTGCCTTTTGATGGCTCTAATCTCTCCCCAGGGACTTTGCCTGCAGTTCAGATGCCAATCACTGGCCAGGCCAGGCCTGTGTTTTCAGATTCAGCTCTCTCACAAATCATTTACGGGTCCCACTCCACTCTGTCCCACGCCTGGATGATTGTGTTTGTGCACAGGCACTGCCCTGGCAGCCGGGGAGGGCCGGGTGCTCACCCTGCCGTCGCTGGTGAGCAGGATGGAGTCRCTCTTGATGTCRCGGTGGATGACGCCCTGGTTGTGCAGGTAGGACAGGGCTCTGAGCACGGACAGACACACCGTGGCAATCTGCTCCTCATTCATCCTGCAACAGCAACAGGGAGAAACCACACAGTGCTGAGGAACATGGGGGAAAGGGATGTGGACAGCCACAAGTTCCCATTCACAGCAAGCTCCCATTCACACCCAGCATACAGCAGACAGGAGATCTTTCAGGCAATGGCTCTGTGGGGCCAATCTCTGCTCCTGTTTCTGTCAAAAACGGGGAGAGGAGGTGTGGGGATCAGCTCTGCAGCGAGGTCTGGATTAGTCTCCCTGAAGCACTAAAAAAGCCAAGTGTGCCATGTGCTGCAGSCTGTTTCCCTCTGGGAAATCACGGAAATGCCTTATTTACAGTAAGCTCACTGCTTGCCAAGCAGGGCAAATCACTACTGGGATGGAAACAGGCGTGGAATAAATATGAGGAAAAACACCCTTAATTGTGTAGGCAAAACATCAGGCCCTGGGTGTAGCTCTTTGAGAGCGCTTTTAGGCCTTCTATAAAAAACACTCTGGGTATTTCAGCAGAAAAATAAACAAGAGTTCTCAATTTTGTGCACAGTTGAAAAACCCCCTTCTGGGGTCATTCCACTGGCTACAGTGCAATGCATGGGATGGGTTATGCACCCTGGTGTCACTGTCCCAYTGCTGATGTCCCCAGCATCTCCTTTACATGAGCAGAAATTCACCCATACAGATTTCTGCTTTAACTTTGTGTGTCATTTGCAGTATTTTAGCAAAATCTTTGAGGGAAGGTCATGCAATGTAAAAAAAAAAAAAAAACATCCAGAAGATTAAGAAAAGACTATTTTGACTCAAAAAATAGATGACAGCTCTTAAGAAGTGGTGTCCTGGGAACATCTGTTTGCAGTTAAACTTCTGTCAGAAATACCTAAGATAGAGCTTTTAATAGTTTGCCAAATACTTGCAATATTGTGACTTTGTTCAACACATAAACTAAGGTTACACTAAAAAATAAAACACYTGTGTTACAACTCTTGGTAGGATCTAAGTGCATCATTAAACTAGGAGAGAAGACAAATTTTTTGATTTACAATTCCTCACTTTTGTTCTTGCTCCCCTAAATACTGTCCCACTGGTTTGGTGTGGAAATTTGAATTTTCTTTCATTCAAGAGGAAGACATTAAATAAAGAATCTCTCTTCCCTATCTCATTTTATCCAGCTTATCAGAAGCAGATGAGCAGAGAGCAGATGTAAAGAGGGGTGTAAAATTCAACGTCTCCCCTCAGAAGAGGCAGAGCAGTCTCCTAATTTAAAGGTGCAATATTAACTGAAATATGGGAATGTGCAAATGTTCTGATATAAAAACACATCCCCCCTTAGGTGTTAGGCTTGGTTTGCAGATAACCCTTCTGAGGAGAAATTACCCTTAGAACTGACATGGTTATGACAGCAAACCCAAACACACATCACCAATCAGAGAATTTTTTTGCCATTTTAGGAGGTAATGGATAGAAGTTTTTTGCTGCTGAAGTAGCTCCTAAAGTGTCAGCAAACCTCCATCTACCAGCAAACCCTCTCAGGTATTTCTTTCCCTTTGATTTAGCAAAGGAGGAGTTAATCTGCAGTTCTGGCTGACTGATGATGGCAAAGCGAGCATGCTGCATGTGGGTTTAATCACATGTACTTATAAAATACATAGATATATATCATGCATGTGTATTTTATACATTTTTCTGGTTTTATCCATGTGCACACACACACCCCCAGCCCCCCAGCCCACCTGGTGTGAGTCACTATGTCCGTCAGAGCGCCGCCCTCCAGGAACTCCATCACCACCCAGAGCTCGTCCCCCACCAGGTAACTGTTGTACATGTCGACCACGTTCTCGTGGTGGTAATCTCTCATGATCACAACCTGCACAGGCACAAAGGGATSAGCTGTGAATGCTACCAGCCTTATCTGACACTTGTTCTGACTTTCTTTCTCACTGTGCTCTTCTGGTGCTTAGGAACGGTTCTGCGATGAATCACATCCTCCCTAATCCTTATGCCAGTGCATAAACAAAATCAATATATTTACATAAAAATATCACTCATCCTAAATGCATCAGGACAAAGAAAGAATCTCTAGCTGATAGAGTATAAACAGTAGATAATTATKTTATTTCAGCCTGCAGGAACAAAACTGTTTATTTAATTGTTTTTTTACTGCCAATTGGTTTCACTACAACTTTCACAACAACCTCCAGTTTTGGTTTTTTTTTTTTGACCTGATCAATCTCTCAATGCATCAAAGTTGTTTTTATCATGTATTAAATGGTTACTTTGCACAGAATTTCAACAGAATGTTGATGTAAGGCCCCAGAAAACTCACTCAAAGAGACTTTTTAAAGGCTTACTTGTTTTTGTGCACTCTGAGTTAGATACACAGGAGAAATACCAACAAGATAYTCTCAAGAAATCAAAACAACAAAGAACTKTACTGGCATCTTYAGAAAATCAGAGAACTTTGGCARAAGGCTTTGTGCAACAATCAGTCAATGTAAAACATTTCTCAAAACCCATGAACTTGGCCCATTCAATTTGGCAAACTCTAAGCTTTAAATTCGATTTTAAGCTACTCAAAAATTCTGGGAAGAGGGAATTAGAAGAAAAAAAGAAAGACAGAAAATATAGAGAAAATTACACATCCAGCCACCAACCCCCAGGTTCCAGCACAGCTCATAGAAATTCCAGGGGAAAGCAGGATCAAGACATGTGCTTGCATCGTGTTTGGCCTAAATAACCCTTGGCCTTCCTGGTCTGAGGGGTGTCAGAATGGCAACCAGGAGATAGAACAACAGCCAGGAAAGGCTTCATTACCGACAGAGGGATTTCATTGTGGCTGACAAGAGATTTTCAGATGACACGAGTGACTGGAGTKTGTCAGGGAAGCAGCTTGGTCCTGCACAGCATGTAGGATGCGTCAAGATGTTACTGTTCAAGAGATGCTCAGTTAGAGCCACCACAGCCTCCAGCAGAGGCAAAGCCAAGCCAAAATAACCAGCACAGTCATGCACTGTGTCAAGAACTGGGTGAAGTTTGTTAAAATCTAATATTTTAATTACAAAATGTTAAGTTTTTAAAGAAACCAGTCTGTCATGTGCTGAGGGGAGATCCACTCGTAATTAAAACACAGGAAACAAAAGATAGAATCAAAAGGTTCATTCTCACAGAAGCTTTGCTTGGGAACCTGCAGTGGTTTTGGTATTGATTGGGATATTTACAAGTGACCTCAAAAAGGGAGCAGTGAACACACCCCACCAGCTGCTTCAAGGGAGTAAGAAGTTTTCAATAAAGGAGAAACTCTTCAAATTGCAGAAGGTATTCTCAGYCCCAAACAACCGGGTGAAAAAATGGCAAATGAAACCAGTGTTAGGAGACTTAAAATAATGGAGAAAACAATCTCTCCTAAGCAGCTCTGGGCTTTGAACCGGCTGTACCCACTCAGGAACGGAGATGTGGGAATTAACACACATAAATTTCCATAAAAAGGGACTGTCAGCTCTTAGCTTAGTAACCATCAAGAAAAGCCAACGAACTGCTGATGGTAAGGAGGAAGGAGAGAAGAAACAAAAAGCATGTGTATGCCAGAACACACTGCACATGCCTGTGAATAGTGTGGTTAGTCTGGATCCTCACTCTGTGTCAGGAGAGGGTCAGAAAAAGGCAGCTGGAAAATATCTGAGCACTTGACACACAGCATAGACCAGCTGATACATTTCTTAGCTGTTTCCTGTGACAACATTACAGGTTTAAAGCCAGGAGGAGATGTAGCTCACTTGAAACTGGTCTGGCTATACAGTATTCATACATCATCCATGTGTGTGGGGCTCACCATCTCTTTTAGAAAGAAATTAATTTGGCTYTTGATGGTGGCATTTAAACCTGCCACCTGCAAAACCAGAGGCCCCACCCAAACCATGGTACCTCGTTGAAGAGCAGCTCCCTCCTCTGCTGTTTCCTGAGGTCCATYTTCTTGACAGCGACCTGCTTCCCCGTGTGCTTTTCGGTGGCGATGCACACGATGCCCGTGGAGCCCTCCCCGATCTTGATGAAGTTGTCCAAGTACTCCCGGGGGTCTCCGGGGCTGACYACAAGCTGCAGGGCAGCTCGGAACTGTTCGTGGGACACCCTGGAGGGCTGCTGGTCCGAGGAGGAGCCCCAGCTGGGCGGGGGGTAAGCACTTGACGTGATGCTCGGGGAGCTGGGGTAGGAGGCGGTGGAAATGTAGGGGGAGCCGGGCTGGAGAGGTGGCTGGTGATAGGGGGGTGCTTTGTGGTAGACCAGAGGGTACTGGTAGCTGCTGCTTGAGTAGCTGACTTTGCTCTGACTCTGAGGTAGCTTGACTGGGCCCCTGGGGTAGGTGTCGGACCCAGAGAGCGGTGGGCTGACAACCAGCTGTGCTCGGTCATAATCCACCTGCAACACAAGCAAAGAGTGAGGGTGAATGAACAGGGAACAGCTCCTTCCTCCCTGCTCCTCCACCCCATCGGTCTCCAGCAGCCCCAGAGGACCCCAGAGCTGGCACAACTGGGTCCAACATTGTACCCATCCTGCTCAGCATGGCACTACTGCTCCTGCCTGGACAGGGATTTCCAGACCACCAGGCTGCTGTGCCCTCAGCAGCACTGACAGGAGGCTGGGGAAGTCCAGGAGATCTTTTGTGCATCCCACTACTGTTCTGTGCAGGTACCTGTTTGTACATACAACAGTCTTTGCTGAATCACAGAATGGCCTGGGTTGGAAGGGACCTACACTSCCAAAAATGTGTTTGCTCTGCATCTGCTGTGCCCTGCAGGCTCTCTGGGCCATTTCCTCCAAGAATCCATCCCTGTCACAACCTTCACAAATTCCAATTTGTGTCTTATCAGTACCTGGATTYTGATTCTCGGCTCTTAGCCTTTTCRTATCTTTTCCTCCAGCAATTCAGGGATAACCCAACCTCTTCTYGTGGAGGTGGTGGTACCCTAAAATCCCTGTCATCTCCTCTCTTGCTGGGCTACCGACTGTTGTTTGAGTGACTGCTTATGTGAGTTTGACGAGGAGCCTAATTTAATTCACCATTTCTTAAATCATTTTCCACAGCGACACACCACTTAACTGCAGTGTCACAAAACTGCTAATTTTCATCTGAAATCAGAGAAAATCGCAAAGGAAATTATCCCGATGGGAGGCCTTGTTCATTTGTCGGTTTCTTTATTTTTTTTTTTTTCCAAGTTTCTCTAAGCTTCTTACATTTAATGCTAATGAGTATTTCACATTTACAAACATAATTGTTTGCTTGTGACAAAACTAAAAGACGTAGAACAAAAAAAAAAACCCAGCCCAAAATGGTATTTTTCTCCTCTGGAAAAGAAAATCTTCACATTTACAATATGTGACTCCTGACGATGTGTGGAGCATCTCAGGGCAGGGGGGTGGTTTGACACAGGCTCATCATGTAGCACAATTACAAATAATTATGGCAATGAGTTCATTTAATCAATCAATTTCAGTGGCAGTGCACAGGGATGGACAGAGCAGCAAACTCTAACACAGCTCACAGTTGCTACTATTACTGCTGGCTGCCGGCCAGGAGTCCCTGATCCATGTTAGTTAAATGCACATTAATCTGAATTTGGCAGTGTAATCAAGGACCCAACTGAACTGTGAAATTGAATTCTGCGGTGGAACATCATTTGACCATTTTATGCTAAGACTGCAAGAAAAAAAAAAAAAAATCTGCCGCAGCATCAATTTATCACCGCGGGCTGTGCACAGCGAGGAGGAGTTTGGAGCTGGAGTCGCCTTGGTGAGGGCAGAAAAGCCTCCAGTGCAATTTTCTGTCGGCGCTTTCCCACCTCCCGCGCGAGCTGGGCGTGCCTGTCTTTTCATTCCGCCAGAGGTTTACAGGGAACAGGGAATGCCTCTCCAGAGGGGTTGCTCCGAGGTTTCCCTCGGAAATGTGAAGCTGGAGTCTGCTTCCATGTGAGGCTCGCACGCTGACAGCCACCAGCCATTGGGATTATCCAGCAAGCACAGACCAGGGCTGTAGAGCCACCTCCCAGGATGCTGGGAGCGCTTCAGCAAAAATCCACATGATTATGTGGATATCCATRGCAGCCATCATTTCCCTTACTCCATCAGGCAGGGGCAAACAGAAAACAGAAGGGAGTCAGAGACATCATGAATTTCGTGAAGGACATTACATCTGCCATGCTAATTAATGCGGAAAAGTGCTCAGATGGTTTGGTGGAGGGAGGGGAACTCAAYCTAACCCTGCCCTATATATCTGCGTATGTAGGGAGAAATAAATTACTGCTTTGGCTGTAAGTACACCGTTTTCTTTATAACCACTGAGTTGGGGAAAACCTGGTCTAGAAATTCAAGCTGCATAAATCCCTGCCAATGAACTAGTAGAGGCATTACCCACATCTGATATTTCTGAGTATGCCCTAAGCGTAACACACTGGCAAAAGAATATTCTGCAGTGAAATTTTAGGATGAAAATCCAGGGGGTTCAGTGTGCTTGCTGAGAAGTTTTGGAAGCTTTTTGAGGTTAGCATTGTAGTACAACGTAAACCCCTTTACTTCTTGAATCCCAATAAATGTTACAAAAAATCAGGAGCTATAAGGAATAAATCAGCTGAAGCTCTGCTCCGAGGCTGTGTTCGACGCAGTGCTCTACATCATGGCAAAATCGAACACACTTTATTCCACTAAGAATTCCATTTCTGCTGCTGAATGCAGTCACCTACTAAAAGGAAATTCTTTAAATACTACAAAGGAAAGAATAAACCAGTCCWGTGCTCATTCAAGATCAGGTCAAAGGAGCAGCCGAAGCTCTGACACGACATCCATCATGGCACAGCGGCGTCTCCCGCATCCACACATGGCTGCATAGGCACTCGGGTCTTTTCGCCATTAAATGGGATGTAAGCCTGTGTTTAAAGCATTTCGGCTCTCRCTCTGGTGACAGCGATGCCTGCTGTGTACTGCAAGCAGAGGGAACACCTGSTTGCTCCTGAGGGGTCCCTTCCCTGCGAGGAGGCTGCCTGGGCAGCCTTTGAGCCCAGCGGGTGTCCCCACACACTCTGCAGTGGGACTGCGGCAGAGATGCAGCCGCAKCCCTGCGGCCAGAGCCCACATCCTYGATTCCYRGYGTGATGCACTCRCCCCTCCGTGACCTGCAACGCATTTCCATTTGGTCAGTTTTCAGTTTGCCAAATCAAAGCTGTGAACTGGATGGTCTGTAAACCACACGGAGATGGCAGGGGCCAAGGTAACTCTCTGGTGCTTTGCTGGTGGAAATCTCCAACACTCGCTGTTGCAGGCACAGAGGAGGCAGGCAGCACTCATGTACAGCTGCTGGTATGTGAATGGCAAGACCGGGAAAAAAGGAGTGGGTTTCTGACAGTAAAGGTTTGGCCCTGCCTTTGTCAGGCTGGAAATGTCCTCGTGGCGCAGAGGGACACAAAGTATGATGGGGAGAAACACCTCTGCTATGTTACAGCAGTACAGGGTAGTGAAGGGGAGAGCAGACATCATGGGCCCTTGAAGGAGCAACAGGAAAGGGTCACAGAGAGCTCCTACTGGAAAATGGCAGGGAAAGGAGCTTTGAAATAAAAAGGCCTGGTGGCAGAAGTTAAGAGGCCTGCCTTCATTCAATGAAGAGGAGGGTAGAAAGAAAATATGCAATACGGAGTGGCCAAAAATAAGCCACCCTGGCAAACGAATTTGATGTTGTAAACAATACTGATGTGGGACATCAACTCTGTGTGGTGAGGGGAACACAGCAAACTCTGCTGCTCCRTGCAGGTGCCCTGGAGTTATTCTGCAGGGCAGGAGAGCAGGTAAGTGGGCTGGAGGGAACCAAATCTAAGCCTCTGGCTTCCTGCACCTCCATGGTCCCACCGTACAGCAATGTCCAAGCCCAGTCCAGGGCAAGTCTTCTGATGTAACAACTCTGAAATCACTGATGATGAAACAGGGAAGAGGTTTGATTTGTCTGACATCTATCACCTAAAAATAATATGAAGTAAGTTTGCTCTTCATGTGTGCAAGCCAAAGTGAACACCCTTGTTAAACACACTTTGATGCCACACATATGTGCCAGCAGGCTTTTTCACCTCTTTTAATTRCACTTTAAAGCCAATCTCATTTATTAAATATCAGACTTGAGATCTGCTTCTTATTTAGTAAGTCCATTTGATAAACTGTTATCTTACTAATGCCTCCTTGAAAAGAAGATYCTTTAGCAGTCATCCAAGACAAGAAACTCCTATTCACCTCCAGGAGCTGTGGACGGGTTTGGGAATTGAACTGCTGCATTTAACAGTGAATCATCAAGTTTCAAYACACCAAGGTTGTAGGAGTGTTTTTGATGCTTAGAGGAGAGGAACAGCTCACAATGAATCTTGCATGAAGGCATCTTTTTTTTTTTTTTAAATCAAAGTTGTTACTGCATTTTAATGGGATATTTTTCAAAGTGCTGGAGTCCTGTAAAAAACACCTCTAACTTCTGCCCTGTTGGAAGGTATAAAATTGGCAGACGCAGGTGCTGAAGGGTCTCTGAATTACTGGTTTGTCCTTCTTCTTTCTAAACTCTGGCAAAACAACTGCTTTCAGTGAAGGAAATGGCAGCTAAACCATCCCAGATTCTCCTCAGGATTTCCAGATTGCACCCTGAATGCCATACTGGTGTTCAGTTACCTACCACACACACTCCTCCCACCACACTCTGCACTTTGGAAAGGCACCTAAAGAAATGTGGAACTTTTCTACTTCTCCCAAATATCTCAAGCTCCAAAACCCAGCTCCGTGCTTTCACGCAAAGAGGGATGAAAAATGCATCGTTCACCTTTTACCATGGGGCACCAGGGTAATGGTAAAGCAGCCAAAACCTAAGGAAGCAAGACACAGGCACACCTCCAATACCATGGACCTGCAGAGACCTGGGACTGCAGCAGAACATGACCGCAGAGCACAGAGCCAGTAAGCAAATGCACCACAGAGATCATCATCAGAAAGCAGAATGGATCTCACCACTGACAGTCAGCTACCTCAGCAYGTGGAAAGTCACAGCAACCCCAGACTTGGCAAAATGATCATCTTGGTGCCCGTTGCTAGGGAAACTCAGATGTTCAGTGCAAACTACATTGAAAAAGCACCTCTTGCACAACATTAGATGCTTAAGCAAGTAATCATGGTTAGGGGGCTAGAGGTGTGAGGAAAGCACTGYTCTCTGATGAGCAAATGGTCACAGCAAACTGTTGCAGGCAAGGTAGGGGTAGGAGAGCTTGTGTAGATAATATTCCTGATGTGGCAGAGCAGGCCACAGATTTGTGTAGAGGAGCTGCCTTTACATAACATGGCTGAAATTCTTCCTTGCACATCAACCCTTTTTTCAAACTACATYTAAAATGTCTTGGGTGAGATCAGCTGTTTTGATTTCAGTGCTTAAAAACAAAGCAGAAAGGGGTTAAGCCCCTACTGCCATCAGCAGTGAAGAGTTAATAAACCTGGTAATTAAAGATGGYATAAATACAGTATAAATACTGAAACACAGAGGTTTCACCCTGTCATGGTAACAATTCAAACACAGAAGTATCTGATATACAAACCAGAGCAGTGCCTCACCTCCTGCCAAGATCTGCTCAGTYGAACTTCCGAGGCTACAAAAAACTGTCAGAGAACTTGGGCTTATTAGGAATTTCCAATAAAATCCCCAGAAGATGGGTRTGTCCAAACCCATCTTTTAATAAGAATTTTAAGCCCACTGGTCCCTGACATCCATTTCCATCCACCCAAGTAAAGCGGGTGCATTTCCCCATGGGCCAAGGAGCAGCCACACAACTCTCAGGGACATTGCAGGCCACGTTTAGCCCCGCAGTTTTACTTYTCACACTCCCCTCATGGAAAGCTGCTCCCTGCCCCGGCAGCAGCGTCCCCAGGTTACCTTGGGAATGCCTGCCGCCGTTTCAGACAGGCGGGGGTAGGTGTAGGAGCTGTAGGAATGTCCYTGCTGGTGTGCTTTGAAGGCGCTTGCTCCGTAGGGCATGGCCGGCTCCTGCAGGCCGGAGCCCGACCTGGACCTTTGCCTCATGGTCGGCTGAGGGCTCGCGGGGTCCACGTAGGAAGATTTGGGCCTCTTGTCGTAGTCGTCCTTGCCCAGGCCGTGTCCCCAGTCGCTGTCACCGTACTCCAGCCTCTCCTTGGGACACTCGCTCTGCACCGACGCGCGGGACGGGGCGTAAGAAAAGGAATCTCTGTAGTCCAGGGAGGATCCGCTGGGGATCCGCTGATACTCCAGCTTCAGGCCGCCGTATTCCAGCGCTTTGGGCTTGGTCTCCAGGTGTGCGTGGTAATCTGGGAGGAACCTGGACAGGTCTGGCTGCAGGGGTGTCACTTCCGAGTAGTAGATGTCCCGGGATGTCACCTTCATCATGTGGCCGTTCTGCTTGGYGGCGTAGCTGCCCTTGTAGTATCTGTCCAACTCTTCCCCGTACAGACCCTTGTCTCGGTATTTCTCCACGACATAGTCTGTGGTAGTGTCTGACTCACTGGAGTACTGGGAATACGTGATGTAGCCATTTTCCTCCTGGTGCCTCTGCACATGGTTTGCGTTTCCTTGGTGGTGGGTGGGAGGGCTTTCCTTCCGCAGGGAATTGGATCGTGTCACTGAGATATTGTCAAACTCTTCCAGCAGACCGTTGATCGAAGTATCCTTTCGAGGYTTGTTTCCTCGAACAATAGTCTGGGAATAAAAAAATTGCTTTGATTAAATACTGATTTTTGTTTAGTACCTCACCAAAAAAGAAAAAAGTGATTCACCCASGAATACCCGTAGCAAGGCGTTATGTTCTTCAGTCACATATCTCATTACTCAAAAAATAATCTCAATAAATACTTAACAGTAGGACATGAAGAAATGAAGGAATATTTAAATTCAGTGTAGATCATAAGCTGGGATATGGCACGCAACCCCAAGACTCTCTCAAAAACTTCCAAAAAAGCAAAAGTGTGTGCTCAGCAGCCAACAATAGTGACATTTAAACCCACTCCTTACTTTTATTTGTTATTATTCAGTTGAATATATTGATATTGATATATATTGATGCCTAAATCCAGCTACCTAAAACAGAGGCAGGACAAAATTCAGAGACTAAAAAGCAGTTAGATTTATTGAAGGGCYTTCAGGTACATTTAGGGCAGTCACAGCCCACCCTGGGGCTACATCCAAAATGGACACTTGGTGATGGGTTTTTCATGCTTTGTAAGTTTTGTCCATTTGCATATCAGGGGTTAATTCTCCAACTACAACTTCAGGTAATGAAGTCATTTACTCCAAGTTTGCTCCCCCAATTCACTGTTGTTTACATATCCCTACACCAAGACAGTAAGGTGTCCTGGAGTTTTGGGCCTTGGGAGAAATTGTTTTGCCTAAAAGTGGGAGAACAGTAGATTAGCGTTACATTTAGCATTACTAAAGAATTACAGGATTATATGAAAAATATAGAAGCTAAAATCCTAAGGCATCARTATCAAGCCAAAYTGAATCTGATTGWCAGGGCATAGATAAGCTACATGAAAACCATTCAGTGGTCACTTCTACATGTTATTTTAACAAAMTGCTGGAATGGAAAGCAGCATGTAGTTTAGTAGGCACTAGACTTCCTTGATTTTTTCTTTTTTTACCAAACAGTATRTTCCTGAGTAGCAGAATCCCACTGAGGATTGCTTCCTGGTTAACTTAGCATGAGACACTKGGGGAAGAGGGGAAACCACTGAACTCCATCTCTTTGCAACACGCAGCATACAGCAAACCCTTGTGCAGAGCCACGGCTCTGAAACACTCACACCAGGGATGCCAAGTGGTGGCCTTGTTTGTGTCCCACTATTGCAAAACCTCCCACAGATCCCCCTGCCCATTCCTACCCCACTCTGTCCAAAACTCTGGTGCTCCCGGCAGGATGGGATGCAAGCAGTGCTTGGTTACAGCTCTCCTTCAAGAAAGATTTTATTTTTTCAGCCAGTACCACCTGAAGTCTGTAACATGTGGCTGCATCCATTTTTCATCTGAGGACTGCCATTGAGCACCACCTCACGTTYATAAACACCTGACCAGAATAAGATGTACAGATTGGTGGCCAGGGCCATAAATCAGCCAGGCTCTACTGAAAATACATTTGCTTTGCTGATTTACTTTGGCTAAATACCTCTGGCTGCATCTTATTTAACTCACTGAGCTTTTCAAAGAGTCACTACAATCACCCCAAGGAGATTTCTCTCTGTGGGCTGCAGCCTGCATTGCACATTGACAGTAGTGCACGGAAAACCAACCAGGAGTATCAGATGCTGGATGTGGAATACTGGACACCTACCATGGCATCTCAGAAGATGGATGTGGAACAGTGGACACCAACCACACCATGGATCCAGCCTGGACACTGCCCTATACTTCTTGTTTTGCACCACACAGGGTGAGGCTGCTCAACCACTGCTTGCAAGCACTTGGGGGTTCAAACTTTGTCAAAGTATTTAATGATTAATAAGATGACAAAATTAACAGGAATGTACTTCTGTGTCACTCAGCAAAAGGCAGCTGCAAAAAGCAAAGCAGCCGCGACCTCGCGCTGCTCCCTGCTCTGATTTATGTCTGTAATTACTTGCCTAGTTTGCTATTTTGAAGCCAGTGGTACTGAAACAATAGGACAGCAAAAATGAGGGACAGCAAATAGATCRCTCCTTTTGCCTCCAAAGCCATTCAGCAGGATGAGAGGAACTGGTTTCATTCTGCTACAGCCTCTTTGGCAGGATGACTRCGCGATCATTCATATTTAATTGCCACATAATAAAACAGCAACGTTCAACAATGAAATGCTTATAATTGAAAACAAGATTGAAATACCCAATTGCCACCCCACTCCCCTGTGCAAATGCCTGCCCAGGAGGAAAATGCCAATTTAACACTCTCCATGGGACCGGCTTCCACAAAGGAGAGGTTTCCTGGAGCAGTTGTCTGGATCTGCACTAAAGGGCTTGGAGCCACAGCAAGCCCCTAGGGCAGAGTGGCCTCTCCCATGACRGGGAACAGGAGTTGTCCCTCTGCTCCTCCAGCACACGCTGTCTGGAAGCAAGATTTTCAGACACCTTCAGAAGGAAGATTTAGAATTGTTTATGTGTTAGGGAATTCATTGGTGACAAATCCCTGCAGTTCAGRGATTTTCTGCAGACAGGGGCATGTGTGGGAGTAACCTTTTCGATTATGAGGATTTAAAAATAGTACTAATAGTAAATGATCTTACAGGAAATTCTGATTTTCAAAAAAAAAAAGAAGCATTTGTCACCGAAGCCCCAGTCTGCTGAAGCTCTCTTGGATAGCTCTGGGACCTCAGTGCTGTCTCATCCTGACTGATCAAGTTAAGGGGATTAAGAACTAAATCCCTTTTCTTTTATCCCAACATTTTAAGGATGATCACTGGAAAACACTGACTTGTGATGGCTGCAATTCCTATTGGGTTCAGATTCTTCTCCATGAGAAAATGAAAATGGCCAGCACAAAGGGAGGGTAAAACTTACCTATTCCAGCGGCACATTTTCTACTGAATAGTCACAGCTTTGTTACTATGAATAAAAATTATGACAATTATTTATTGCTAAGACCAACAACTATATTTCTATTAATTTTGTCTTGTTTTTAAATTTTGTATTTCCCTTATATAAAAGGATGCAGATTTGGCAAAATGCCCTCAGGCTAAGGAAGACAGCCTACATCAGCTTCATCTTTTCCCAGGAAACATCTAGCACCATTCTATTCAGAAGAACTGTAGTGTCCATGGAGAAGAAAATTTAGTAAGTGTTTCACCAAGACCCTGTGAAATACCCTATATTGCCAGGTGTTTTGCTATCTGAATAGAACTTGAGGATGTTTATACACAAATCTGAAGTACATTGTGTAACTCCCAGGTAGGAAGAAGCATTTACCGGGCTGAAAAAACAAATTAATATCCCAAAGAAAGTATTGCATACAGGAGTAATAAAAAAAATGCTCTGTAAGGATGGGTAGAGTATCAAAATTAAAAAATCAAATYAAATAAGATGTTATAAAGAATAAAACATGTGTTATTAACTTGTACCATGTTAACTTGTCCTGAAGTGATTTACTAGAGAGAAAGTGTGTGCTGGGGGCTCACCAGCACCCACAGCTTTCTCGGGAAGCACAGGATTTGCAGAAAGAAGCCTAAAATTGAAAGCTGGCATAACCATGGCCCAAATTCCCAAACCTGAAAGCCTAATGTTAGTGCCAGGGCCACAGGAAGCACCCAGGCTCTAAGGAACGACTTCAGTGGAAAAGCTGGGCTGATGATGTGGGGCCTTGGTTTGAGACTGTGGACTCCAGTTACTGGGCACTGTGTCAGGAGCAGAGGCAAAACCTCATGGGATGGAAATACAATAGCAGCAATTCACAAATGATGGGAAATTTAAGCTCTAACTTAAAAAGCAAACCAAAAACCTTTAAAGAAAATTTAACAGAAAAGGGCTATCATGGAAAGTGATATAATGGTAGCGTCATAGGAACTAGACTAGTTTTTCTAATTTTAAAGGCTTTATAAACTGAAAAAATGTACTTTTATAGGAGGTGGAGGGAATTCTGTCTCTCTATATATTCTAGGGTCATCCTATTTACACAGACTCATTTCTAAATTTTCTTTAAGCGCTTCCTGGTCTCCAAATTTTTACASTTAAGGAATTTTCAAAGATGCTGCATGCAAAGCAGACAAAAGCAAAGGCTGATGGGCTAAGATTACCGAGTCCTTTGTTCTATTGAGATCATGTACTGGAAAYCTGTACAACAGCTCGTCACACATGGAAAACTGTGATCACGCCCTTCCGTGGGCACAGGGCTCCCCAGGGAAAGAATGGCTTGGTGCTAGTCGATACTCCATGTTTATTAAAGGACGTTTTCCAGCGCATTGTGCAATTTCGGAGGGATCAATGTTCCCGCAGATGAAGGAGCGCCGCTGAATTTTCCGCCACCGTTGCCCTCGTCCATTAAATCAATGGGGCGCAGTGTGGGTGATGAAGGYGGGAGCTGCAGCTCTCATTTCATTTGCTCCCTGGACAGGCTGGGCGCCTGCTCTGCAGCCTGGTGACAGTAGACATCCTTCATGGCGCTTCTGCAGCGGCCTGTCCTGCGGTGATAAGCTATAATGGATCTGTCTGTAAGAAAGGCTGTCTTGCCTTGTTTCCAGGAGGAGATGAAAAACAGCTTCTGCACTCAAACACTGTATTAACCTTGACAATAATGAAGTGGGTAATTAACTGTTTTGCCCTAATGCGACCTTGCATTTATTGTCTTTAAAACTACTATACTTTACACACTCGTTAAGAATATATCATCCTTTGTCCTGCTAGAGCTGTGTTTTCAGGAGAAAGTGAGGATTTTAAATCTTTGTGATGTGCAGGGTCAAAAAAAAAAAAAAGAGTATTTTAAGGAAAGGTCGCCCTTATAAACAGCCAATCTAAACTCTGATTTTGCCTCTAGCTAGCTTTTCCCCTCATTTGCATTATACATAAACTAAAAGCACGGCTGAAAAATCTTTTTTTTTTTTTTTAAGAAAATGTGCATGAAGCACAGATGGTCAGAATAATCTAAGTGATGGATGTGTCGGTAATTTATTTTCCTGTGTTGCAAGACATTCAAAGTATTTGAAGCTGTGTTCATGACACCACATTTTACTCCTCAGTGTAAGC